GATTAGGATTGCGTTACACTATGTGAACGCAATGATCTGGGTCGAGCTAGCTGTGACCTGCACCAAGCTGACTGCGGCGTAAGGGAACTGTTTATTTAGGCTGTGATAACTTGTCATTGAAAATTCTTACCGCAGAAGTTAGACCAGGTCGCCCATAAATGGGTTGTAAGACGAACTGTGCAGTTTTCGTAGTTATTGCCAGTGTTTCAGTGGCAGTTATTCCCACTCTTGTTAGTCGATTCTTGTTTTCTGTTGGTGAACCCCCGCGTTTAGAACTCAAACAATGGTGGGGCAGAGGACAAGAAACAGACCACGAACTTGAGGTGACCACTATTAAAGAATTCTCCATCAGCTTGTCAAACGAAGTTCTGAATGATCTCAAGGAAAGATTATCCAAGACTTACTTCTTTGAAAACCTGGAAGGAATCGATTGGGAATACGGTATCAACCCGGACTACGTGAAAGAGTTAGTGGAATACTGGAGAACGAAGTACGACTGGCGCAGACAAGAAGAAATTCTCAACACTTACAAACATTACAAGACCAAAATAAGTGGACTGGATGTTCACTTTCTGCACTATAAACCTGAGGTGAAGGAAGGTCAACGACTGCTGCCTATTATGTTGGTACATGGGTGGCCAGGGTCGTTTTATGAATTCTACAAAGTCATCCCAAAGCTGATAGCCGCTTCAACAGATGATTATGCATTTTCGGTCATTTGTCCATCGATTCCAGGCTATGGTTTATCAGAGGCACCGCATAAGCCAGGCTTTGAGGCATTTGCAGCTGGCCGCATTTTTTGCAAGTTGATGAAGCGCCTTGGATACGAGTCTTACTACATTCAGGGTGGTGATTGGGGAAGTGCGATTACAAGAGCGATGGCGCTAATGAATCCAAGGTGAGATCGGTGTTGAGAATCACCCATTACACAGTCAAACCTCCATTATTAAGGGGAAGCTTGAAAAGGGGCCACTTAACCAATAATTAAGGGTTAATTATTAATTAATACATCTGGCAAGGCTGGCAATACCTTAGCCTTTGAACTTTCGAAGTTTTGATTGTGCAAACTCCATGTTAGTC